CTTGGCAAAGCCTGAAAGCAGCTTGCGCAAAGACAGCCAACATCTGTTTGTATGTGTTAAATCTTTCAGCTGGAGCTAGGGTTGCTTTAAAAACTTAATGACATTCAACATTGAATCTACAAAAATCTAATTATATATCTCTCCCTCTCGATATCCCCCTCTCTCTCTCTCTCGATATCCCCCCCTCTCTCTCTCTCTCGATATCCCCCCCTCTCTCTCTCTCTCTCGATATCCCCCTCTCTCTCTCTCTCTCTCGATATCCCCCTCTCTCTCTCTCTCTCTCGATACCCCCTTCTCTCTCTCTCTCTCGATATCCCAGTCTCTCTCTCTCTCTCTCGATATCCCCCTCTCTCGATATCCCCCTCTCTCGATATCCCCCTCTCTCTCGATATCCCCCTCTCTCTCGATATCTCTCTCTCTCTCTCTCGATATCTCTCTCTCTCTCTCTCTCTCTCTCTCTCGATATCTCTCTCTCTCTCTCGATATCTCTCTCTCTCGATCTCTCTCTCTCTCTCTCGATCTCTCTCTCTCTCTCGATCTCTCTCTCTCTCTCTCGATATCTCTCTCTCTCTCTCTCGATATCTCTCTCTCTCTCTCTCGATATCTCTCTCTCTCTCTCTCGATATCTCTCTCTCTCTCTCTCGATATCTCTCTCTCTCTCTCTCTCGATATCTCTCTCTCTCTCTCTCTCTCTCTCTCTCTCTCTCTCTCTCTCTCGATATCTCTCTCTCTCTCTCTCTCTCTCTCTCTCGATATCTCTCTCTCTCTCTCGATATCTCTCTCTCTCTCTCGATATCTCTCTCTCTCTCTCTCGATATCTCTCTCTCTCTCTCTCGATATCTCTCTCTCTCTCTCTCGATATCTCTCTCTCTCGATATCTCTCTCTCTCTCTCTCGATATCTCTCTCTCTCTCTCTCTCTCGATATCTCTCTCTCTCGATATCTCTCTCTCTCTCTCGATATCTCTCTCTCTCGATATCTCTCTCTCTCTCTCTCTCTCGATATCTCTCTCTCTCTCTCTCTCTCTCGATATCTCTCTCTCTCTCTCGATATCTCTCTCTCTCTCTCTCGATATCTCTCTCTCTCTCTCTCTCGATATCTCTATCTCTCTCTCTCGATATCTCTCTCTCTCTCTCTCGATATCTCTCTCTCTCTCGATATCTCTCTCTCTCTCGATCTCGATCTCTCTCTCTCTCTCTCTCGATATCTCTCTCTCTCTCTCTCGATATCTCTCTCTCTCTCTCTCGATATATCTCTCTCTCTCTCTCTCTCGATATCTCTCTCTCTCTCTCTCGATATCTCTCTCTCTCTCGATATCTCTCTCTCTCTCTCTATCGATATCTCTCTCTCTCTCTATCGATATCTCTCTCTCTCTCTATCGATATCTCTCTCTCTCTCTATCGATATCTCTCTCTCTATCGATATCTCTCTCTCTCTCTATCGATATCTCTCTCTCTCTATCGATATCTCTCTCTCTCTATCGATATCTCTCTCTCTCTATCGATATCTCTCTCTCTCTATCGATATCTCTCTCTCTCTATCGATATCTCTCTCTCTCTATCGATATCTCTCTCTCTCTATCGATATCTCTCTCTCTCTATCGATATCTCTCTCTCTCTATCGATATCTCTCTCTCTCTATCGATATCTCTCTCTCTCTATCGATATCTAGTCCTGTGCCCATAAGGGTGCAGATGGGGCCTGTAGCTGGCCAGAGAACTGGAAGGCTGCAAACCCTGGTACTCAAGTGAACATTGACACTTTTGTGCATGGACATTTGGTTGCACTTGCCTGGTTGAGGTTTCTTCAGGATGTGAAAGTTTTGTGATTAAAAATAAGTTCATATAAGTACAGGGACATACAGATATTCACTTCTATGGCCAGCTGTATGCCCCCCACCTGCACTCCCTCAGGGGCTGGAAAATGCCAGTAATTTTACATTAGGCGTATTTTATGCCTGCACACATCTGTGGGCATGAGACCCTAAAAGAGAACTAAACTCTTCAAGATTATCCACCTCAGCTTACCAGTAATGTGACAATTACATCCCAAGCAGGCAGCTGTCATCTTCACCCCAGGCATTTTCCAGGAGCTGATTTATTTGTCCTCTTGACTGGCTGGCGGGGGGATAATTTGATCTCCAGCATTCTCATGGGAGTCAGTCATTACAGCACAGCCAAAACACAAAATTGTTGTCTATGTGCCCCATTCATACTGACCTAATGGTATGATGTGTGGTGCAGTAAGCTACAGTATAATACAGCATGTCTGCACAGCGCACTGGATGGCTACCACTAAAACCTGCATCACACTGCTTCTTTCCGGAGCTGGCCCGGTTAGTAGCCTACATGGTAAAAAGATACATCTTATTGCATGGGCAAGTGTCAACCTAGCCTCAGTGTTAAATCATTTGTCTTAACGCTATAACTGTCACTTCTGCTGCACAAATTGATCTGTTGAAGCAGAGGTCTCCAAAACTACAGCCCATGGGCCAAATGTCACCCACAGAGGTCCACTAGCAACAAATCATATGGTTGCCCCAGTGTTCACAGAAGAATCGAACTTTTTGTGTCCAGATCTGCTCCACCTCCTGCCCTGCTGCAAGTAAGGTAAGATCGGACTCTCCTGGGGACACTGATGTAAGGCAGGACTCCGATGGGGACTAGATGTAAGGGGGAACTCTGATGTGGACCCTGACATATGGGAGGGTTCTGATGGAGTCTCTGATGAGAACGGAATAGATTTTTGTTTGACCTTTTTTAATGGCTCAAGTTTAGGGGCTTTTTTTTTTTTTTTGCTTTGTTTCACTGAAGTTCTTTCTCTGTTCTTTCTTCGGAATTTTATCATGCGAACTACAAAAAAAGTTCCAAGCAAAACCTATTAATTTAAAATTGTATGCATTCATTCGGAAAAACTATTTTTTTTTTTTAGCCCGCAAACATTTGTATATACGTTGTGGCTCTCGTACTGGAAAGTTGGAGACCCCCATGTTAGAGTTGAAACTAAGGGATCATTTAAACCATATGCCGTTGGATGTGTTTTTAAACGTAGCACAAGCACATACGCAAAAGTGCTTTCATGTGTGTAAAAAAAAAAAAAAAGAAAAGGAAACCGCATGCGGCATCTTTTCACTTCAGAAAGCACATAAACACAGTATGTAAACCACACCTCAAAAAGCATTACAAATGCATGTAAACCACTTTGAATTTAGTACTTTTGTACCTTATTAAGGTGTTAGCAACTCCTAACAAAGAACTCATTTTCTCTTGTCAGAAATCCAGTAAGCTTCTAACTTCATTTAGGGCCCATTCACACCTCAAACTGCACATTTACTGTACATTTTTGCATGCGCGCTGACATGTTTATAGATAAATATCGTGCTGCTCTCCTCAATTATTATCAAAGACACATTGATTACGTGTAAAAAATAAACTAAAATAAAATCTAATATAAATAAAGTGTGAAAAAAACAAAAATGTGAAAAAACAAATGTCCACTGTGCTTATACAATCCCTTTATACTATGGAAATAAATGTATCATTGTATATCCAGAGACTGATACACAAGAGTCCTCTTTCTTTTTGAGAAATCTGTGCTAATTAGATGAATACACTCCAGGTTCCAAAAACTTTTGCAGCATAAATACAGCTCTATCATGCGCTCACCTCTGTCTCCAGCCTCAACAGGCTAAATCACGCAGTTTATCCTATAAAAGGATGAAGTATACTGCTTATCACCTTCAAACAATCTCTCCAAACCGCAGTTTTCCTGGTTAACTTATCCATTATCTTGTATGGATCTATGGGTGTGTGGATGGTTGGATGAATCTTCCCTCCTTCTCCCCTCCAGGGGAACTGACAAGTTTGATGTACATTTACTTAGCAATGTGTTTTTACTTCAGCGTTTGTCCTTTGAGGAGACTTTTCTTCAGCCCTTAATGTGCAGCGCAACCTGTTGCATTTGTGCAGGTTTACATTACTTTGTATGCATTTGCAGTGCAGAAAAATGCAGCTTGCTGTACTTTTTTTTTTCACTGCATGTTAATGGTGTGAACTACACACATATGATAACCTGGATTTTGGACTGTATGTAGTGGCAACGCCGTCGATAATGCACCTGACTGCATCTGGTGTGAATCGGCCTCAGGGAGCTGACAATGCTGCGCTGAAAACTCAAATATAGTTATTAGCCTTGCCCAGTTCACCTTTGTGGACTACAGAACACAGCCATCTGTTTGAGAGGAAGAGGGAGTGTTCTGTATTCCTAAAACACTTCCTGCTCTAGGGTGACAGTGCTGCTCCTCCACAGATACAGTACAGTAAGACTACGTTCACACTAGCGTTGTGTGCAGGCGGCAGAGGCGTTTGGGAAGCGTTTTTACCGCTTCCCAAACGCCTCTGCCAATTCTGCACATTACAGCACATGGTGCTGTTCTAACGGGAGCGTTTGCATCGCAGCAAAACGGACGCCTCTGGTCGAGTCAGGAGGCTTTGAAGCCTCCTATTCTCGTCTATGGTGCCCCTCCGCAAATGTCCGGCCGGCGTTTGCGGTGCGGTTGCGGGGCGTTTGCATAGCGGTAACACCACTCAAACTGCATTATAGGCGTTTGTGGGGTGTTATTAATGCTCGGCAAACGCCTAGCAATCGCCGCTAAACCGCGCATGCGGCGTTTGCGGAGCGTTAAAAACCGCTCAGCAAACACCGGACCAATGCTTGCCAAACGCTATAGGGGCGTTTGGCAAGCGTTGGTAAAACAGCCTAGTGTGAATGAGCCCTAAGAGTCATCACCTCAGGACAGGAAGTGTATTATTGGCAGGATTGGGTAAAAAGGAAAAAAAAAAAAAAAAAAAAAAAAAAGCATGAAGGAAGTAAATGAATGCATCCACCACATCGAATGACTGATATGCATGTCCCTGGGTTTAGATACACTTGATAGACATAAAACAATTCTCCATTTTTACAGATGTCCAAGTACTGATCATCGTTTTAATGCTGCCCTTACCCGCCAGGACTCTGTTTACAGAGGAGTGCGTGGCAAGTCCCGGCTGACCCCCGCTCATGGAAAATTCCAGCATATGGAAGGTATTCAGGCAGTAGAAATCTCCTGCAATGAAAGAAGATGATGAATACAGTGTAAGTCATTAAAATGAGGGAGAACAAAACATTGGCAGAGTGTGGAAGTGCTGGTGGTGATCACAGACAAAGCACGGCGCAGAGAAGTGACAGGAAGACAGATCTGAGAAGTTTGATGAAGACAGGTGGAACATGGAGGCAGATTCTCACTGAATAAGCCAAAAATGACAAGCTCTGACAGATGCGTTAGGAGGCAAATGATTGTTTCACCTGGGAACAAAGCGGCCCAGTGATGGTGCAGACATGCGGGCGTTCCGAGGGGTCCTGTGTCGGGATCGGTCCCCATTATCCCTGAAAGGGAAAGAAGAATTATTTCTATTTGCCGACTGACTGAAAGGAAAACGCTGCTATTATTCAGGATGGTAAAGACGGTATCAAATACACAAACGAATGCATCATTATATGAGCAGGCAGTGTAAATATCTGAACGTAACTATTTAACAGTAACCTGTCTTGTAATCCCTTGTACAGCAGAACTCCAGGTGGGATAGAAGGAAGCAGCACACGAATCCAATCAGTTCATGTGCTGACAAAAGAGAAAAAAGCATTCTGCTTCTCCTTTACTGTCCACGTTCAGCCTGGAAGTGGGTCTTTTAAAGGCCAAGTTCACCTTTTCAAATAAAATGGTACTCCGGTCAGAAAAACAAATCGAGCAGTTACAGTGGCCACGGGTATAGACCTAGTATAAACAATAAGCAGAGCACAAAATTCTGACTTCACTGGCTGCATGCGGTTTACAGGTTATTGACGCAAAGTACGGAGTCCAGAAAATTCACAGGAAAGCCATATATGTGGTTTTCATAAGGATGTCAGCAATGTCATTCCATATATTCCTATTACAACTTTCCTTTAAACTACCCGAGTCAGAAGCAAACTGGCCCTTAACTCATATTTTCTCAGCCATCAATCACAAAAATGATTTGGGGGGGTGCCTGGTCCTCCCAAATATTCACTTCTAGGGAACGCTGACTGGAAGATAGAGCAGAGTTGATGATTTATTGGTGTCGTTACTCCCTTACTGTTCATTCAGCAGGCTGGGGGCAAGGAGTTAAAACCACTATATACCATTTTTTTTTGCTCCGTAAGACGCACTCTCCCCCCCCCCCCCCCCCCCCATAAAGGGGGGAAAATGTCAGTGCACCTTATGGAGCGAATATGAAAGCAGCCAGTCCGGTATTTCCACCGCCACGTCAGAATACCGGGCCGGCCACTCAGCTGTTCTCTGCTGCAGGGCCTTACCTGTTCCTCGGTCCAGTGCTGCGCAGTCTGCCCGCACCGGCATCTGTGACAGCCGGGTGCCCACTGTGCATGAGCAAAAAGCACTGCGCTTTGCGAATGGTTCGGCGTCTTCTGGGACACAACAGGTCCCAGAAGACACCAAGCCATTCACAAAGTCCAGCGCTTCTTGCGCATGCGCAGTGGGCACCCGGCTGTCACAGCCGGGTGCCCACAGTAAAGGGAGGACAACTCCACGGAAGTGGGAGCGGGTACCTGTCAAATTCAGGTAACCGCTCCCCCTCCCTCCCTAAAGGACCACAGTCTCTGGTCCATCCCCTGTACCGTGTCCGCAGTCTCTGGTCCATCCCCTGTACCGTGTCCGCAGTCTCTGGTCCATCCCCTGTACCGTGTCCGCAGTCTCTGGTCCATCCCCTGTACCGTGTCCGCAGTCTCTGGTCCATCCCCTGTACCGTGTCCGCAGTCTCTGGTCCATCCCCTGTACCGTGTCCGCAGTCTCTGGTCCATCCCCTGTACCGTGTCCGCAGTCTCTGGTCCATCTCCTGTACCGTGTCCGCAGTCTCTGGTCCATCTCCTGTACCGTGTCCGCAGTCTCTGGTCCATCTCCTGTACCGTGTCCGCAGTCTCTGGTCCATCTCCTGTACCGTGTCCGCAGTCTCTGGTCCATCTCCTGTACCGTGTCCGCAGTCTCTGGTCCATCTCCTGTACCGTGTCCGCAGTCTCTGGTCCATCTCCTGTACCGTGTCCGCAGTCTCTGGTCATCCCCTGTACCGTGTCCGCAGTCTCTGGTCCATCTCCTGTACCGTGTCCGCAGTCTCTGGTCCATCTCCTGTACCGTGTCCGCAGTCTCTGGTCCATCTCCTGTACCGTGTCCGCAGTCTCTGGTCATCCCCTGTACCGTGTCCGTAGTCTCTGGTCATCTCCTGTACCGTGTCCGTAGTCTCTGGTCATCTCCTGTACCGTGTCCGTAGTCTCTGGTCATCTCCTGTACCGTGTCCGCAGTCTCTGGTCCATCTCCTGTACTATGTCTCCAGTCCATTGGTTCAGAATATTTTTTTTAGTTTTTCTCCTCTAAAACCTAGGCGCGTCTTATGGTCAGGTGCGTCTTAAGGAGCGAAAAATACGGTACCTTGAAGTGGAAGAACACTTTCTAAACACTCTATGGACATTAAAAAGCCACATAACATAGGTACTTTAATAAATGCAGAGCATGTTTAGTGTCTCTCCATGCTCCAGTTGTCCAGGAATCGGCACTGAAAACTGCTGACCTTTTACATGTGACAACATGCAACTTATGATGCCACTCAACGCTGCGATCTATGTCTGGCAGCATCAGGGTGCAGAGGTTGTGTTTTCTAATCAGGCTTTGCTATCACAAGTGGATAGCATGGGGAGGCTAAAGCTGGCCATAAATGGATTGAAATTCAGCAGACACAGGCCGATTCTTGATCCATCTATTGCTGTTTCCACTTCGAGAAAAGTCGATCTAATGGTCGGTTTCTCTTGGACAGAAATGTTGGAAATTTTTCAATTAATCAGTGCTTTCAGCAAATTAGCTGCAGCGATGATCAGGGTTTTTTGACAATGTAGAAGTCCTGTTGTCAGAATACAATAGTACAGCAAAGAATTCCGGTTTGTTTTTTTCATCAGCCTGAAAAAAAGCCATAAAAAAAAAAGTCAATTTATAGCCAGCCTAAGTGATACCAAGAGCTGCATGGTGTTGCTGACAAATGGCTGACTGGAGCAGACAGAAGGAATCAAACATAGTGCTATGCTGTTTTATATTGAGTATAGCATCAAGTCAATGAAACTCCTGGGATATTGATCTGGTCAGTCAAGTAGCAGAGGGGGTTGTTAATGAGTTTCAGTTGTGTTGGTGTTAATGAAATGAACAGGTGCACTAGATGGGCAACAATGAGATGATCCCCAAAACAAGAATGGTTTTACAGGTGGAGGCCACTGACATTTTTTCCCCCACTAATCTTTTCTGTTTTTAACTAGTTTTGCATTTGGCTAGGGTCAGTGTCACTACTAGCAGCATGGTGATACCTGGACCCTACAGAGGTTGCACAGGCAGTTCAATTCCTCCAGCATGGCACATCAATACATTTCATTGCCAGGTTTGCTGCGTCTCTCTCAAGAGCATGAAGGAGATTCTAGGAGACAGGCAGTTACTCTAGGAGAGCTGGACAGGGCCATAGATGGTCCGTAACCCATCAGCAGGACCGGTATCTGCTCCTTTGTGCAAGGAGTAACAGGATGAGCGCTGCCAGAGCCCTACAAAATGACCTCCAGCAGGCCACTGGTGTGAATGCCTTTGACCAAACAATCAGAAACAGACTTCATGAGGGTGGTCTGAGGGCCCGACGTCCTCTAGTGGGCCCTGTGCTCACTGCCCGGCACCATAGAGCTTGATTGGCATTTACCATTGAACACCAGAATTGGCAGGTCCGCCACTGGTACCCTGTGCTTTTCACAGATGAGAGCAGGTTCACCCTGAGCACATGTGACAGACGTGAAAGGGTCTGGAGAATCTGTGGAGAAAGTTATGCTGCCTGTAACATCGTTCAGCATGACCATTTTGGTGGTGGGTTAGTGATGGTCTGGGGAGGCATATCCATGGAGGGACGCACAGACCTCTACAGGCTAGACCGGGTGTCGGCAACCCGCGGCTCCAGAGCCGCATGCGGCTCTTTTTCACCTTTGCTGCGGCTCCGGAGCACACTGCCCACCAGGTGACAGGCAATAGGGTTGCCGTAGCTCAGTGGTCGGCAAGCCGCGGCTCTTTTAACCTCCCTGGCGGTTTTCCCGAGTGTAGCTCGTGGTAGAATTTCTATACCACGAGCTACACTCGGGCTTACCATGCGGCGCTGCTCTGGGGGTCCCTGCAGCACTTACCTTGTCCTTCGTTCCCGCGATGTGTCCCCTGCAGCGTCCCCGGCCATCTCCTCCGGCCGATGCCGGCATCCGGCTTCTGTGTTCCAGTCCCCGTGACGTCGGGACGTACGGGCGCCGCCGGCGGCGGGAAATTTAAAAAATTTAAAAAATGTCTTTTTTTTTTTTTTTTTCAATTTTCAATAGTAAAACATTGCTGTTTCATCCCATTTCACATACATATTGTCCCTAGTGCTTTGTCCTGTGCCCTGCCTGCATTTTGTCTGTTCTTTCTGCCTGGAAACTTAGAAAAGTCCATGGCGTCCAAAAAGCGTCCCTTTAGGTCAAAAGCGGTTTTAGACTGGCTAGAGAACAGCGATAGTAAATCAGAACCACTTGCAGAATTGAGCGATAATGATTTGTGGGGAAATTTTCCTAAAAATTACAGCCTACAATAAAAAACTATTTCCATGCGAAAAAAATGGTACCGCTTTCAGCACAAAAAATCGGAAGGAATCATACCGCCAGGGAGGTTAATGCAGCTCTTCTGTGTGCCGGGCGCCCGCTCCCCTCCCTCCTCTCGGGCGGCCGCCCCAAAAGTCAGGACTCTGCAGCTAGCCTAGCAATGGGCAAACTACGGCCCGGCGGACCTTATAATCCGGCCCGCGGAGCGTGGCAAACATTTGCTGTCAGGATGTAGGCGGGGCAGCGTGACGAACTCCTCTCCTCTCACAGTCCGCCCTGAAGACCAGAACTGCGCGGGAACACGGCGAGAGGAACGCGCGGAGTACAGGTAAGTGAATTGACACAATATGGGAATGAATTACTATAGGGGGGATGAATTACTATAGGGGGGATGAATTACTATAGGGGGGATGTATTTTCAGTTTTAAAAATGTGGCTCTCAAAATAAATTTTAATCGTGGTTTTGGCGAGATTTGGCTCAGTTGAAAAGGTTGCCCACCACTGACCTAAGGCTATGATTGTGATTATGACAATACACTGTGGCCCTGATTAACCCTTTGCTTACTGGGCCCTTAAACCCCCTTCATGACCAGAGCGCTTTTTGCAATATATGCAGTGTCGGATTTGTTTTAAATGTTGCAATGGTTTTGCGGCTCCCAGTCTTTTTTTCCCTCT